ATCATTTGGACTATATTCTGCTCAGTACCGCCGAACTCGGGGAGACTTAATTTTGACGCATCAAATACTGCAGAACCCAAACCATCGGTGTCGATCGCTGCTCATGTTATCTAAACAATGTACACCTAAGGGGACACTGTTTCAAGCTACTGATTCCAAAGTGTCGACTGGAATGCCGGCGCCAGTCTTTTTCAGTTAGGGAATGTAGTTCTTGGAACGCCCTTCCATCTCATGTAGTTTGTGTACCCATTATCGAATCTTTCAAGCAGAAACTCGATGAAACCTTGGCACACCTCACATTCGTACACCACTAAAAGTAAACGCAAATTCACAGTAGCCTACATTTCCTATTATCTCCTACCCGGAACTCTATGTGACTTCTTTTTCGGTATGTAACGATTCATCTGTGTAAATATCCTATGGGGACAAGAGAAGCACGAGCTTGTAAGTTATTCCCATAATAAAACTGACTTTGGACGATATTCAAATACACAAACAAGTTGCATCAAAAAATTACTTCAGGATAGCTGTTATGTCGAAAACAGCACTCCGGAATGAATAGTTTCAAAAATTGACCAGTCAGGCATTCGGTGATGATAATGATGATGATGACATGCACCAAGTTGTGGTCAAATGAAAAATAAGAGAAGGTAAATGAAAACGCTAAAAGGAATGAGTTCATCAAGTGCCTATCAATAAGAATATTGATCACAAATTTCATGCGTACCTCAGCTTACTCTACACGGTTTCATTTTTTCATCCTCCAGCTAGTTAACTCAAATATAATGATAATTTTCTCGGTTTAAAAGAGGAAGCGATCAAACACGGAAACAGATTCAAAGTGCAACTGAAGTTTCACGGAAAAGTAATTTTGATTTTTTGCAATGAGGACATTAACTGGCTGGCATTAAATCGGTGCATGCCGCACCCGCAGAGTTTGGCGAGCATAAGTATTGAAACAGAACATTTCATCAAAAAGTTAACAACTAGTAGATGAAGATATATTATTCATGTAATAAAGGACTCCGTTAAAGAAGCGTGCTCCAATGAGATGATCAGCTCGGTAGATCTGAAGACAGTGAGGGATAGACAATTTTTACGTACGTTTGATGTGTAGAGGACTGCTGAGGATCATCTAAAACATCCCAAGTTTGAATGCTTCCCGTTGATTCGGCAGTGATACGAGACAAAATTTTATTTCCGCTAATATTTTATATTAAGAATGTGCCTACCAATCATGATAATCTTTTAATCAGATATGCTGATGATGAAGCAGTTGGCTCGTATTTAGATGGAAACCTTAACTTTTCTAGTTTCCAGTCAACAACCTGCTCAATCCTCGAATGCTGCTCCACATCAAATTAGTCTCTCTATGAATCTAAATGCCGTCATTTTGCATACAGTCACTGTTTCAGTCAGAAGAAAACCAATGCTCCAACCCATCTCTTCTACCCATTACATAACATAACTTGGAGTAACATTATCCCACGAACTCTTTAGGTTTGTGTAAATTTTACTGTTTTCGATAAAAATAGGAAGTGTGAAAATAGTGGTTTTAACAGGTTTCTCCAATCCCCATTTATTTTGTCCATACTGGTGTACTGTTTCGCACCTGTTATATTAATCAACTGTAAACTTCATAGATCTAAGAATCAAAAACTAATACATCTGACGCTAAGGTAAAAGAGTTATATCCTGTGTTAGTGAACTTTCTAGATTTAAATTATTTGATCCTGTTGTCACTAAACATTTTATCATCCGATAACCAACTCATTGACTATTTGACAGGCACAACTGACTCATTTAATCGTATTTTATCCATCTGGAGAACACGGTACAAACTGCAGTACTTTACAACTGCGGTCAACCACGTCTCTGCTATCTCTTTATTCAGCTGGTTGATTTGGTCAGCCAGATCACTTTTTAACTTTTAAAACAGAGCGCTCATTAGGCAGATGTTTAGTTTTCATCGTTACTCGTCGAATGGCATACTTGACCTCCGCATTGATAGTGGAATACGTGTCTGATTTCAACAGTCACTGCCCAAATTCCTCACTTCCCTTGAAACTTTGGCTGGTCGTGATATTTGTTGTGCTTCGGGCAAAAATACATTTTCCATGAAAGTATACTCGTGATGCATGTTTAACGTGTCCCTCACCACTAAAACGCCCCGGAGCAATGTATAACTGTTTCAGCTTTCCTAAACATCAGCACTAGTGAGTGCATACCCATAGCATTCTTCAGGATTTTAACCCGGGCATGAGGGGTCACTACACGTTAACAACACGTGATTGCTAACCTTATGTTTGAAATATGGAATAAAAATGAGTTCAAAATAGTGAAACTACAGCACGAGTAAGAGAAGTTTACTGAATTTGATGATTTACTATTAACTTTAATGAAAAGTTTTACTGTTACAGCTTAAACTTCACAGTCTATAAGAAGCGGTACTAATTACTGAGGATGTAAAGCTGTTGGCGACTGATGTTAGGTGAAAGTGGTGAGCTAGGTGCATAATTCGAAACGTCTGTACACACCTTTCAATTATTTTTTCAATTAAGTCTAGTTGAAACTGCACTGCGAAAACTATGAAACGCTTGGTTATCGAAGCCCAGTCGATCATCCATATTGGACGAAAAAAACCACGTGAATTCCTACAAAGTTAATCGTATACTAAATGTGAGTTTATAACTATCAAATACGAGCATGAAAAGCGACAGCTATAATTATTGAGCTTGAGACCGATAAAACCGTATCCTCATCTGTTCCATTCATTCACTTACGGCGAAGTTTGTCGTTGTGTACAGGAGTAAAAGAAGCAAAGTGCTACAATTGACAGCTAAGGACCAACGATTGGAGTGGCATCATATGAGCTATAGAGGTGACGGAGTCAAAGAGTAAGATATCAAATGACAAATGCAGACCCACCTAAGATGTTTGGTCCGCTACTGACTCCCACGTTACGACGGTAGACCACCTCAGAGTTGTTCGCATTTCCCGTGCCCGACGGAGTTTCAGGATCATGGAAGGTAACTGTCTGAGGGATTTGTGGCAAGCAGTTTTCACGGGTAGGGGGAAAAAGAAGATGCACACGAATCGGATGAACACCGAAAAAATCGAAGAACAGTGCTCGAAGATCAATGCAATGCAATTAAACCGGGATATTAATTTGACCGGAAAGTATTATTTGGTGGACATCCACTTCAAACTTTCCTAAACATTATTCTTGTTTTAGGGTCCCGGTAGAGTCATAAAGTAGTACGTACAACTGATGAGTATCGACGGGAAAAACAGCTGACCAGTGCTCTCTGTCGGCCGTTTTTGTGCTATCGTTTAATTCATTGAATCCTAGATGTTGCTCTTTAGCAGTAATTTGCTCTTGGATTATTTTGCCCTCCTCTCACTTTGCTTGTTTGGTCTAACAGTGTGTCATACGATTCCATGACGCTCGAAACTACTCATTCTTTCTGTACCCCGCTCAACTTTGACATATTCTTACCTTTCTCATTTGGCCCTAAAATTGTGTTTCACTCGGATTACACATTGCTTTTCTCGGAATTCATATGTTATGCCCGTAAGCAATCCATTTTCCTTTTAGTCTGAAGATGAGGAAACAAGACCAAACATTTTGTTATTTCCCTCTAAGAAATCGAATTCGCAACTGCATTCTGGGTGTCTCGTTGTCCCGATTAAAACGGAAATATGCGAAATGCTTCGATGTATCAACCGAAAGATTATTAGCTCCCTTAAACTAAATGCAACGCTTTCCCCTGATTCGCATTCAGCTTCATATATATGCATATATATGATGTACGCTGAGATTCGCATAATACATATTTGTAAACATTTTAAAATTACACCTGGATACTTTTAATCATGTTTATTGTTTCGCACCAACACGGTCATCACGTGCGGTAAGATGTGGGCTATTAATATTGCTCACCAAGCTCACTCTTTGGAAGCCACCTATCTAGCTACTGATTTGAACTCGATTGCAAGTGTGGTGAACCGTGGTGGTTGTATGAAGGCCGTCTACCATAACAGAGATCCAAAGCACTTTCATTGCCGGTTTGGGGACGAGAGAAAAGCACCACGAGTAAGCTATGATCCTAACCGTGACAAGAATAAACTTCCAGTCAATAACCAACTAATTCTAAGGAAGTCACCGTCGGGTTGCAGTTTCAAATATGCTAAAATGGAGTCCATCTATTTTGTAAAATATCGAACCATATCCGAAGTGAAAATGGCTTTCTCATAAGCTGTAAACGAATAGGCACAACTGTTTGTTCAACCGCAAGCCCTAGAAACTTATAATCAAAAACGGTAGAGAAAGACCGGGACCCACCAAAGCTCGAAAGCGCCTTTTCTTTGACAGGAATGCTTTGTGTTAACGAATTATTCAATCGCTTTGTATTTCCCAAATTTGCACTTAAACAACTTACTGCCAACATTCGACGCTAATTCCAGAATTTCGCGAACTGTGGCACCCACGCTGCGTAAATTGGAGCAGAACTTCAAAGTTTTTATACATAGAAAAGACCCAAGATATTGTGATGGTGTGGAACTTAATGGAAGACGTACCGTCTGATGCCATTTCAGAAGATCCCAGAAGGGAGCATATGAGTCGAGCAGACGGAAACATAAAAGGCATCCGTAATTGGCTTTACCCAGGAATAGGTAACACAATTATTTATTATCTGTTCTTATCTGCCATTTGGATTCACCCTGGTTAGTGCCGTTCGTTGACTATACAGACGAGTTAGATAGCCATGCATGACCTGAACATTCGGCATTGAAAACCATGATTGGGTACGGTTTGCAACAGACTATCCGTTTGTAGTCCATAAAACGCAACGATAATTCTTAGACGGAAGGTGCTGATTAATTCAATGTGTTGTAACTCTGAAATATAGTATAGAACTGAGGGGTTAGAATGAAATACGTCAAAGAGAAATAGGGTTGCAAATAGCCAAACAAGTAATTTTAGAGTAGTTGGGTTCTCATGAAAGACTCCGAATAAGTGGTAAAAAAATTAAACGGATTTGGAAGGTGAAAGAAAGCACTGCTGAAGAGTTTCAAATATGATGAAACAGCTTTCCAGTGCACTTTGTTCAGTTCAATTCAGTTTGTACAACCACTAACCATGCACTATCGTGCGCCGGTTTTGGTTGCTGTCTTTTGGCTGCACATTTAGATGAACATTACGAGAAAGATAGGAAAGGTTGAAAGTAAGATCAAGGAGAAAATTTAGAAGTTCATTGAACTAATGTTGCAGAGAAATTGACAAGACGCACGAACGCAACTGTTTACGACACTCAGCCATATNNNNCTCAATGTCTCTAACCATCGGTTACGATCATCCCGAGATCCCAGCCAGGGAGCCTAACGGGAAATATGTGACCCAGACTCCTGATTAGGTTTTCATACCCTCTTGCCACGTCTTAGCTTGGTCACCCTTAGCTTTATTCCACCGACTACCTGCATCGGCGAACATTGCTTGCCGCGGTAACCTATCTGGTGACACGCGTAACACATGTCCCAGCACACGTAATCTATGGAGGACGACCACTTGCTCCAGTGGGCGACCGCGAACACCTAAAACTCTTCATATAACCTCAGCCCGGTTACCCCACGAGATTTGTGCAATGCTGCGTAGACAGTGTTCGAACACCGACAGTCTATCTTTGTCCTGTTTGCTTAATGGCCAAGTTTCTGCACCGTATAGCAAAACTGGCCGACTCAAAGGTCTGACCCACAAGGCAGTGAGGCGTAAATCCAACGCGGGAGCGTGA